TGGAACCAGGCATAGATATTAAATCAGAGCAGGAGAAAGACCAAGATTTGAAACCAATAATTGATTTTCTAAATACAAGTGTTTTGCGCCCTGCTTGGGAGAAGGTGTCTAGTCTAAGCCCTGTGAAAAAGAACTATTAGGTACAATGGGACCAGTTGAAGCTTGAAGATGGTATTCTTCTCCAGAGATGGGAAACTGCAGATGGGAAAGTGACGACCTGGCAAACAGTTATACCGAAAAAGTTATGGGAAATTGTGCTGCGTCAATCTCATGATAGTTTAACAGGAGGACATCTCGGAGTTAAGAAGACAGTGAGTCACCTACGGCAGATACTTTACTGGATAGGTATGAGGCAAGATGTGGAAGAATGGTGCAGGACCTGCAGTACATGTTGTGCAAAAAGGGGACCAAAGCATAAGGGATGTGCCTCAATGAAGTTATATCAAGTTGGTGCCCCAATGGAAAGAGAAGCCGTTGACATTGCTGGTCCCTTGCCCCAAACTCGTGCTGGAAACAGGTACATTTGGGTGGTGATGGATTATTTCACCAAGTGGCCTGAGGCATATGCAATACCAAATCAAGAAGCTACAACTGTAGCTTCAGCTATTAGTGATTTCTTCCTCAGATTTGGTATGCCATACGAACTGCATTCAGATCAAGGCCATAACTTTGAATCAGCCGTGTTCGATGAATGCTGCAAGTTGTTTGTCATACGAAAGACCAGAACAACGCCACTTCACCCACAGTCTGATGTGATGGTGGAAAAGTACAATTGGACACTGGGACAGGAATTGGCAAAGTTTTGTAATAGCCGCCAAAATGACTGGGATATCTTACTCCCTCCACTGTTGATGGCCTATAGAACAGCAGAGCATGAAGCCACTGGATACACTTCAGCAAAGCTGATGTTTGGTCGGAAACTTCGGTTGCCAGTGGGCCTGATAACAGGACGCCCACCTTATGAAGAGTTGCCTGAAAATGTGCCAGAGTTCGTGAAAGTATTATCTGAAAGGATGGATGATATTCACCATCAAGTGCGTTCAATCTTGAAAACGTCTGCTGATTCGATGAAGTTATCTTATGATAAGAGATCTACTGATGTCTGCTTTGTACCAGGAGACAAGGTGTGGTTGTATAATCCCAGGAAGACCAAAGGGAAGTCTCCTAAGTTGTCTTCTCCATGGGAAGGCCCATATGATATAGTGGATCGTCTCTCAGACGTGACTTTCAGGATAAAATATGGTCGGCGAGGTAAGCCAAAGGTGGTTCAAGCCAACAGGCTTTGGCGTTATCACGGTCCAGGACATTTCAATTGGTACAAAGTGAACAATGGAATAAATGACGCCGCTGAAGACGTGTTACCTGGAAAAGCCACTGTCGAAGAAGAAACTCTACTCGGCTTTGAGAAGGGAAACAGTGAAGCCCTTGATGAAGTTACTACCACTGATGTGACTATTACCGATAATAGGACGTTTCTTGATGGAGCAGATGAACCTGAAGTGAAGCAGAAGCCAACGAGATGGAGAGCAGTACGGAAGAAGATACGTCCCGTAAAATTAAGAGACTTTGTTGGAATTTTAATTTTGTATTTGTAAATTATGTACATTTAATTAAGTTATTGTTAATTATCTATTGGTTTAATGTAAGTGACTATTGTTCGGGACGAACAATACTAAGGAATGGGCATTGTTACGACAGCGAAAGACACGTGACGCTGGTAACACGTCATGAGTTTCTAGAAGGATCGGGGAACATCACGAAAATCCTAGTATTTACTAGACACCCATTTATTTTTGTATATAAGCCCGGTAAATTGAGAAAGAATAAATTAGTTTTCGTTAAGAAAGGACTGGTATCGCTAAGTTTCGTCCGAAAGAAATTATACGGGAAATTAACAAACGACCAGAGATGTAACAATACTTTCTTTGTCAGGTATAAAGTTTGCTCAGACACTTCTTTTAGTGAATCAAGCTATCTACTGCATGAAAGAATTTCAGAACATATACGAGAAATCCACAACCTATGAACTATCGAGTATCTACAATAATACACCGTCCAATCTGAAGTCAGTAAATAATATCAGTAGAAGGCTATGAACTACCAAGTCTCTACAATATTACACTGTCCGATTTGAGATCAGTATAGATAACCAGTAGAAGGCTATAAACTACCAATTCTCTATAATACTACACTGTCCAGTTTGAAGTCAATATATAATATCAGTAGAAGGCTATGAACTACCAAGTCTCTACAATATTACACTGTCCAATTTGAGGTCAGTATAGATAACCAGTAGAAGGCTATGAACTACCAATTCTCTGTAATACTACACTGTCCAGTTTGAAGTCAGTATATAATACCAATAGAAAGCTGTGTACTATCGTGTCTCTACAATATTACACTGTTAAGTTTGAAGTCAGTATATAATACCAATAGAAAGCTGTGTACTATCATGTCTCTACAATATTACACTGTCCAGTTGGAAGTCAGTATACAATGCCAATAGAAAGCTGTGAACTATCAAGTCTCTACAATATTACACTGTTAAGTTTGAAGTCAGTATATAATACCAATAGAAAGCTGTGTACTATCATGTCTCTACAATATTACACTGTCCAGTTGGAAGTCAGTATACAATGCCAATAGAAAGCTGTGAACTATCAAGTCTCTACAATATTACACTGTTAAGATTGAAGTCAGTATACAATACCAGTAGAAAGCTGTGTATTACCATGTCTGTAGAATATTACACTGTTCATTGGAAGTCAGTATAGAGTACTAGTAGAAGGGTGTGGCTATGAACTACCATGTCTCTACAATATTACACTGTCCAATTTGAGGTCAGTATAGATAACCAGTAGAAGGCTATGAACTACCAATTCTCTATATACTACACTGTCCAGTTTGAAGTCAGTATATAATATCAGTAGAAGGCTATGAACTACCAAGTCTCTACAATATTACACTGCCCAATTTGAAGTCATATAGAAAATCAGAAGAAGCCAGTTGTGTACCAAGTTTCTAGAACATTACACTGTCCAATTGGAAGGTTCACCCAGTGGCACAAGATACGTTTGTTGGCTTATAAAGCTAAAACTGTGTTTTGACGTTGTCGTATTGGGCAGAGCACAGATATCCCCTTGTGTTGCTCAACAAGAAACAAACAAACCAGTAGAAAGTTAGTATATATCAGCAATAAATGGCTAGAAATTACTAAGTCATTACAAAGTGATAAAATGTAACAACTGTTATTATTTTTTACTGTCATGGTTTTCAAGTATAACTCATGTCGAGTGAAATTACTTAAATCCTCGCTCAGTTGAACATGTGATACACTTCTAAGTTCTAGAAGAAATATTTTGTAGAACATAATGTAGTGCGTCCATGTCTAGACCAATATTAAACGTAAGTAAGTAAACAATTACTAAAATGTCTAACCTAACATTCGTTAATATTTATATTAGTGACATTATGAACGATCCAGAGTAAAAATATATATATTTATTTATTTTTACTGAGATATAATTTCTTTTTGTTGATTTCCATGGTGTTGAGCTCTTTTCGAATTTTAATGAGAAATTATTAATTGATATAGTTCACAAGAAAACGACAAAATAATAAAATTATTATAATTATAAATTCCATGTGTCACTTACTGTAATAGAGATAAAAGCATAAACTATTTAGTGGAATAGATTAATTTGTGACAAACGTTTTATACTAACTTTAGTAAGATGCTACTTTCCATTAAAAACGTGTTAATATAATTACATAAATCTTTTAAACATGAAACATACTTAAAACTACTAAGCTTTGAGTCATTCTTAATACTTTTAGTACCTTTTAAATATTTCATAAATTCATGAAAGTGTTTTGTTTGTTTGTTTATCAAAAGTTTGATTGTTTTTCTTAGACGCTGTACAAATTAAAATCTACTAAAATTAAAGCTTATTGGGTTAAACTGTTATTATCGTAATGCTATGAGTACAAGAAATCA